AATTTTGCCACGGAGTGCAGGCGACGGAGGCCACGACAGCAAAGGAGTTTGCCAGGGCATCGTCTACTGAAGAGCCGGCGAAGAGGTTAGCTTTAAGATTATTTAGGTGGTCGGTCGCTTGGCCGTGTGCACGATTGCGTCATCGTGCTCGCGCGTGTATCGAGAGTGTGTGTGTGCGTGTGAGTATTACCGCAGCGGCGGCAAGCTCAGCGTGTGAGTGCGAATCGACGGCACACTGCCGCGTCGCATAATTAGGATAAACGCAGGTGTACGGCGCGGCGTAGACGCGATCTCGCGGAATTAGCCACGTGGCTACAGGTCGACGAGCGAAGCACGCGCGCGTCGGCCAAGCTCGTTCGACCACGCGTACGTAGCGACGGCCATTTTGGCCAAGTAGTATAAGAGAGTCACGACATAACCTATTGCCGCGGAGCAAAGGTTCGGCCACGGAAGGCAAACAAGAACGCCACCAGCGCACCTGGTGGCCAATGTTAAAAGTGAAATAAAGTGACTAGATTTTTGAAATTGAATCTCGCGAGTCATAATTAATTCGTTTTTGTTGTAAATTTCCTAGACTCCCTCTTTTCAGCACGTAGAGCAATATTGCAGAATTGTAAGGATTTTCGCGGAATTCGCGACAAAATCGAGATTTCCTCGGCCGATTCGAAAGGTGAGTCACTGGGGCCAACAGCTCGGCCCAAACTCGACGGAAGGCCCAGAACCCCCTCGGAGAAATCAGCGTGAGTACAAGAGGTCCCACATAATAAAATTCTTGTCGACGGCATTTGAGCTGAACCTTATTTGATAAGGCCAATTTGCAGCGTCGCAATGGCGCCCAACGTGGGGCCTCTTGGGCCTTACTAAAATAATTTTGGGCCTTATAAAATTCGAGAAAACTTGAAACTTAAAATTTTTCGACTTTGCCCAAAAATTTACGAAAGGTGTTGTGCAGCCGCCGAGTAGGCTCACTGATTGTAAGCCGAGTGTGAGAGTGTGCGGGACCGTAAGTCCCCGAATTCGACGCGGCCAAGGGGGACCGACCAAAAGTTTGTATTGGTAGTTAGGTGCAGTAGTGTAGTTGCTTAATGAAATCGATATTTTCGCTTGACTTATTTTATATTTTCTTTCTTAAATTTGCTTTGAATTTTGTGTAATTGCTTGTAGCGCTTCGTAGAAAGTTGATTTAAGCTTTTGTTTGAGCTACTTTAACGGCTGAATTTCTACCTGTTCGTGTCCCCTGATCACACGTCCCCACCGAGCTTTATTTTCGTAAGCAGTCGCGTCCCGAAGAAGTTCAGCGGGACACTGTCGAGACGGTCAAGAAGTATTTGCCTGACGAAAATTAGCCTCCCTCGAGTCGTGGATTCGTAGTTTCACGCGTGCGCGAACCCCTGGCCGACAGGACATCACACGTGAGTGGACAATTCACCTTAAAAAAAAAGAGAGAGAAGGGAAACTTCTTTGCATAGATCGCTCTCGGGAGACATGGCGTTCACGGTCCAATGTAAGCGGGCTCGCGAGGCGTGGATAATGCGTCCGGACGAGACCGGGGTTTCGATTCGTAAAATCATGTCGCGTGTTGACCTAATGCCGATGCCCGCCGTGAAGCAGGAACTGGCCGCGCGTGGCTTGATTGCAGAGGGGACGGGTTTGGAGCTTCAGTCTCGATTGGCTCGTTCTGAGGTGCGTTTCTTGTTTCCTGAAGTTACCGTGCGTGGCAAATTACCGAAGATGAGAACGCGGGTTCGGCGACACCCCCTCTGACGGGGCATCGGCTTGTCCCCGGTCTCGGTCTGCTACCAGAGCAGCAGGGCCAGGATACGCCAGATGGAGTCGAGGAGGAGTTCGAAAATGAGGCCGCGGGTGAGGCCAAATACCCTACGGTGGGAATGACGATCCCTACCAGTACGCCGAACGTAGTGACAACAACGCAATCCAGTACGGGGATGACGACGTCAATCGCTTACTCCGCGCCGGTAACGACATCAGGCGGGTTTAATTCGGCCCCGCGATCGGTATTCACGTCCACGACCGCGAGTGAGATGGCCAATTTTGGAGCACTGGCGTTCTCACCGCCATTCCGGTACCAGTTTCCGGGCACAATAACGTCGTACCCCCCGCGACCAGCTCAGCACACTCAGTGGGACGTGAATACAAGCCAATACTGCGGAACATTACCGAAGACGATAAACCCCGGGAAAGAAAAGCCCTGTAAGAAAAACCAGTCGGTGGAGAAGAATGAAAGAGAAGTTGATCGGCGAGATAAGGCTGACTCTCGAGGCAAGTCAGAGCATGAAAACTCGGCCCAGGAGAAACCTCGGCGAATTACCAAATCGCCACAATGGAGGGCCAAGAAAGACAACTCGGAATCTGATTCTCAGTCTGACCCAGACCAATCTCCATGTTCCAGCCCAGGAGGTCAGCGCAGACGAAGACGTGCTCGTACACCAGAGGATCGTACAGAATCAGACCAAAGCGAAGCAGAGGAGAGCCGTGATCGACAAAGTCGTCGCCAGTCAGGCCAAAATTCGAGCCTCACAGCTTGGCAAACGAGCAAAATCCTTCAAGGATGGCAGATTTCGTTTGACGGTGAAAATCGTGAGGAAGCCAGAGCGTTCTTAGCCAGCCTCAAGGAATGCCAAGAAAGCAATGAAATTCCAACGGACCGACTACTAGGATCGATGCCGGTCGTGCTCAAGGACAAGGCGAAGAGGTGGTACAGAGAGAACAAGTATCGTTGGACTACGTGGGCCAGCTTCAGGAAAGCCTTCGAAAACAAGTATATGAAACTACTGCGAGACAGCGAGGTCCGAAGAGACCTCGACCGAAGAACACAGGCGAAAGGCGAAACTATCTCTGACTTCGCCGACTGCTTCAGGTATTTGGTTCGTCACTTGCGACGAAAACCCGAGGAAACCGAATTGGTTGAGATGTTCCTGCGCAACGTGCGAAGTGAGTACCGGAGGCACATCGTTGCTGCCAGGCCCTGGACTATTGACGAGGCTGTAGAACTTGGCCAGGAGTTCGAACAGATGCTCGAGGACGATGAGCGGTTCGAAGAACCTCCACCTAAGTC